GTGGTTTCTCTGCAGTTTCCTTGCATTTCCATAAAACCGGCGTAAGCGTGGGTTCAGGTAGAATACACCAAAGTTGTCCAATTTGGCTCGCGCACTTGTTCGTAACTTTGGACTCCTAACTTTGCATAAGCTTGAATCCTTTTTCTGTTTGGTAGAGGAGAAACCCTGCTTTTTTTGGAGAAAAAAGTCGTTTTTCAGTAAAATACCCACAAAGATAACATTTTTGTACTTAGGCTTTGTATAAACGACAGCGATCGCTTATGAGCATCACATCTGCTATTTATAAGCTTGTTAATATTTAGTCCACTAATTTTGATTAAATCCAATGTTAGCTGTTTTTTATGAATAGATAAATTGCTGAAGCCGGTTAGACTGAACAAAAGAATGTAGCGTTTTTGGGCTCTAACTGCAGAACATTCACTTTTCTAGGTTTTTTTCTTTTTCGCTTTTTAAGCCGGGTAACGGAATCTAGGGATCAATAGGGTTTAAAAAAACTGAAGTGTATTAGGCGGGAGAAATTTGAGATTTGATGTGAAGTACTCACGCTCATATATATGAAACTTTAACCTTAAATGAGCTTTTTTTGGTTATATTTCTTTCAGAACGATTTACTAAATATGTTTAGGCTCATGGACAGCGACGTAGAAGATCATGAAGAAAAAATTAGCAACTGCCTAGACCCTGACTTAGTAACTGATGAGTCTTGGAATTTAAGGGAGGAGTTGAAACAGCAACATGTTGCAGAATTGGACAGTTTTCCTAGGGTAGAGTATCAATGGATGTTCTTTTATCATTTTGGAGTTTGAGTTTATTGTCTAATGATATCCTGATTTTATATTGGAGGTTGTTTGAAGTCTTTTTAAGAGCCATCCCAGAAGTATAACTCATTCATTGGAATATTGTTGGTTAACTTCGAGCGTACGATTAATGTTTCTTTTAAGGTTTTGGATTTTTGCTTGAAGACTGTCGAATTAGCTGCACACAGTGATATTCGGCGTATACACTTACCGGCCCTTTGTACTAAGATTTTATCTTTGCTAATTCGAAAAGATCTTAGTCATATCGACTGCAAATTTCTAAAGCAGTTGCTTTCTGCTGTCGAAACGATGATCTTTGAAGTTTGGCAGCACGCGGCTACTTTAGATGAAGGATGTAGGTTTTATCTTTTTTGTATTTGCCTTTCAATAGTGGTTTTTAAGATGTTTTTTAATTTAGCTCAGGAAATTTTGGTTTTTTAAAACTCGATTCCAAGGTCAATTTTTAAGAAATGGCGGAGTTTTGCTGGGTTTTCAGCGGGATTTTACGGGTTTCTAAGGCTATAAACAGCAGGTTATTATGTTAACTGAAGTATGTATGCCGTGGAAATGTTTTATTTGTTAATGAAATTAGAAACTAATTTCTGAAGAACTACTGAGGCAAGGGTAGTGTTGTCTCGTTTTTTTTTTTTTGTGAGGATTGATCCCCTGTTTAATTAGGTCTCAAAAAATATGTTTTTTCCAAGATTCATTATTAAGAAAAGTCTATAGCTCAATTTCATTCTGTTTGGGTTAAGATTTGGGAAGCTTATCAGTAGATCTCTTATATCCTTAAATTTATGATTTTGAATTAGTTTTTTTTTTTTTTTTTTTTGAAAATATTATTCGATTTCAAAGACTGGCTGAGAAATTGAAATATTATTTGGCGGTTGCAAAAATCGTCGAATTGCATTTTAGCATGCTTATCGAACGTGGGAACAGAGGAATCTTGTTCACACTTATCTAAAGAAAGCTGCAAAACATTCGCATCTGAGGAATTAGTTTATGGTACTCGTTTAGAGATGTTATTGTGCGTTTTAACAAAATTTAGAAGATTTCATCTATATGCTGACTTTGTTTTTCAGATTGCACAGCATTGGTAAGTTGCTTTGAAACCTGTCAGCGGTTTCTCAGTCAAATATGTGATTGGTTTCGCGAAGAACGGAGTGAAGAAAGGTACGAAATATTATGTGAGGCGTGTAATTTATTGAAGCGCTGTGCAGATTTCCCTCCCTCGAGTTTCGGATGCTTTCGAAAAAACGGTACGTTCTTCTACTGAAGTCTTCCTGCTTTTTTTTCAATTTTACTTTATTTTTATTTCTTCTTTTAATTCTTGTGATCAACAGTTTTTGAAGGTCGTCAAAATACTTTTGAATGTGCTCATGGAGGAAAACTGCCAGAGTGGGCTTTAGCACTTTGTCGACTTATATCTTTCTGTGCTACAAAATTTTATGAAAGAAATAAACGAAGTAAAGAGTTTACTAGTTTCTAATTTAATTATATTTTAAGGCAAGTTTGAAAATATTTTTAACTCATAAAGATTTTAGAAAGATGTTTTACTGCATCTTCCGCCGACGACAAAAACGATTTTTTTTTT